ATATATATATATATATATATATATATAATTGATCATCAAATAGTCTCCAAAGTGGCTGCGCCAATTTATACCAACTTATACCAATTTACACGCCTATATCGGGATTTGTAATTACTGCTTACTGGGCAGAGACAGTTTCCTCCAGGAGAGTTCCAGGCCTGGCAACGCCCCCACCCGGGGGCCAGACCCGAGCACGCCCCGAGCACGCCCCACTTACCTCCCCCGTACCTTTGTCGGTCCCGCCCCTTCCGCCTGGTGGCCGCGCCTTCTCCCAGGACCTGGAGCGGGCGGGGGCGTGGCCTGGGCCTGCCTGGACGTCACGTCCGGCCGGGCGCCATCTTGCTGGTTTGCGTCGGGACTTGGATGTAGCGGCGGAGGTGGTGAGGGCGTGGGGAAGGGTGGGGTGAGGGGGCGAGGCCGCGACTGGGGCGGCGACACTCTCCTCCCCTCGGCCCCACCGCGCGGGACGGCGTGAACGCGGTGCCGGAGGGATGTCCGCCTTCTCCGAGGCGGCGCTGGAGAAGAAGCTGTCGGAGCTGAGCAACTCGCAGCAGAGCGTGCAGACCTTGTCCCTGTGGCTCATCCACCACCGCAAGCACTCGCGGCCCATCGTCACCGTGTGGGAGCGGGAGCTGCGGAAAGGTGAGTCGCCCGCGCCTGCCGGCCGGCCCTGCGCTCCCCGGCGCCCCGCTCCCCCGGCTCGCGGCGTCCCCGGGTCCCCGGCGTCAGGAGGGGTCGCGCCCGCGCGCCGGGGTCGGCGGGGCCGGGAGGAGCCGCGTGCACCGCGCTTTTGCAAAGCCGGGGCTCCGGTGGGTCCTTATTGAAACAAGGAACAGTTAACAACAAAAAAGCCTCCGATGGGCCCGGAAACCGGAGCAGGGGCTTGGGACTCCACACCGGGTGTCAGGTATTTTCCTTCTATGAATTATAATGGAGGCCAGGGGAGGGAAAAGGTAAAGGAGGTGGAGAGGAAGAGATGGGTGTGGATTTGGGCGTTAGTTCCGTCATTTTTATTGTAACACATCACCCTGGTCTTGTAAAATTAGGAGGGGAATCCCTCTTATTTATATATATTTTTATTTTTGAGTCGGGGTCTCTGTTTGTCTCACAGGCTGGAGGACAGCGTTAGGATCACGGCTCACTGTAGCCTGGACCTCCTACTCCAGGGCGCGCCACCACTCCGGGCTGATGATCTTTTGGTTTCTAGAGAGGCGAGGTCTCGCTATGTTGCCCAGTCTGATCTGGAACTCCTGGGCTCAAGCAGTCTTCCCGCGTCGGCTTCTCAAAGTGCTGGGATTACATAGGCATGCGCCATTGCTCCGGGCCAGAATAATCAATTTTAGACATCGAAGTTGAGAAGAGGTGATGCAGGGGGAAGAACTCTGAATTTTTAGATTTTAGAGGCTCGACTGGGCAAGTTTTTAAACAACTTCTGGATTGCAGGTGCCTCACCTGAAAATGAGAGATTTAGATTAAGAGTTCTAAAGTCTCTTCCGGCTTTGTGATTACATGCCTCTAGTACAGTGTCTTTATTTTGCAAAGCATTTGAGAGTTTTTCTGTAAATAAAGTCAACTTTTTTGAGCACATGTCTATCACCAAAATATCCAGAATCAGTTCGTTTCTGTAGAGCAACTTTATCTGTTCAAAACAAAACAAAACTGTATGTTAGTGCAACTGAAAATAAAGCATTTCGTTTGCTTAGTCTGAGTCTTAGTTCGTTGGGTAGCGTGGGCACTCTTCATTTTAATGTTGTTTTTTTTTTTTTTTGAATTGGAGTCTCACTCTGTCGCCCAGACCGGAGTGCAGTGGCCGCTCCTGGCCACCGCAGCCTCGACCTGCTGGGCTCCGGCGATCCTTCCGCCTCAGCCTTCCAAATAGCTGGAACTACAGGCGCGCGCTACCACGCCCGGCTAGTTTTTGATTTATTTGTAGAGATGAGGTCTCGCCAAGTTGCCCAGGCGTGTCTCGAACCCGCGGGCTCAGGCAATCCACTCACCTCGGCCTCCCAAAGTGCTGGGATTACAGGCTGAGCCACCGAGCCCCGCCTTAATGTTTTTTTTGAGTCAGATTCTCACTCTGTCGCTCAGGCTGGAGTGCAGTGACCCACAGTCATGGCCACCGAAGTCTTGACCTGCTGGCCTCAGCCTTCCAAGTAGCTAGGACCACTCCCTACTAGTTTTTTGATTTACTGTAGAGAGGAGGTCTGCACCAAGTTGCCCAGGCTGGTCTCAAACCCCTGGGTTCAGGCAATCCTCTCGCCTCGACCTCCCAAAATGATTCACCGTGCCCAACCCACTCTTCATTATTGTTTCAAACATCCTGATGAATATGATGGTCCTCTAGTAAGTGTTAAGTGTTTTTTTGTTTTTTGTTTTTGAGTTAGAGTCTCACTCTGTCGCCCAGACTGGAGTGCAGTGGCTGCTCCCGGCCACCGTAGCCTCGACCTGCTGGGCTCCGGCGATCCTTCCGCCTCGGCCTTCCGAGTAGCCGGAACTACAGGCGCGCGCTACCACGCCCGGCTGATTTTTTGATTTATTGTAGAGATGAGGTCTCGCCAAGTTGCCCAGGCGGGTCTCGAACCCGCGGACTCAGGCAGTCCACTCACCTCAGCCTCCCGAAGGCGTGGGATTACAGGCTGAGCCACCGAGCCCGGTTTAACAGAACATTATTAATCAAAATAGATGGTTGCTTACCGAGCCGTGTGAAAGCTGTGAATTGTATTAACATGAGAGCCAAAACGTGAGCCAAGCTGTTGGCTGTATGGAATGGAGACAAGCTGTCCTAGTCTTGTGTGCTGCCTCTGGTTGTTATGTGTATTGGCTCTCAGTGAGGACTTCATCCTTTGTGAGGGACAACAAGATTTGAGAAACACTGATAGAAAGGTCTAGATAAAGTAGTTGTGAACTTTGGGAAGTCAGGAATAGATTTCAAAATCAGTAACGGGTGTCTTTTTTTTTTTTTGGAAAGAGCATTTAGAAACATAATCATTAAAGAATTGATACCCAGGCCGGGCATGGTGGCTCAAGTCTGTAAATCCCAACACTTTGGGAGGCTGAAGTGAGAGGATTGCCTGAGCCTACAGGTTCAAGACCAGCCTGGGCAACTTGGTGAGACGTTGTCTCTACAATAAATAAAAGTAGCCAGGCATGGTAGTGCTCGCCTGTAGTCCGGCTACTTGGAAGGCTGAGGCAGAAGAATGACCTGAGCCCAGTGGATTGATGCTAGGGTGGCTGTGAGTGTGTTACTGCACTCCAGCCTGGGCGACGGAGTGAGACTCCAACTCAGGGAAAAAAAAAAAAAAAGAATTGATACCCAGACTGTCTTAAAACTATTACAAATGAATAGAAAAATGGCAATACTGTTTATAGACATTTCATATGAGGAAACGTGAAAGGCCAAAAAATGATGCTTAATCTTACAAATCAGGAAAAAATACACCAGTGAAATGCCACCTATGTTCATCTGCTTGGCAAAATTAAAAGTATAACTATATTAAAGATTGTTGAGGATAAAGAGAAGCAAGAACTCTTACACCGTTTGATGAGAATGAAAAGATACAACCATTTTGTAGGTCTATTGCGCAACCTTTTTTTTCTGTTGAGCAGCCTTTAATGAAGCTGGTGGTATATATTCTTTGACCAAGTCATTCTCTTTCTAGGAATATAGTCTAGAAGTAAGTATTGTGCTCAAGGAATTATGTTTATTGCAGCCTTGTAATAATAAAATTTGAAACAAATTACACATTTTATTAGTTAGAGAATGGAAAAATAAATTGTGATATTCATAAAATATAATACTGTCTAACAGTTTTCATGAATGAACTAGAGCCACAGGCAACAACATGACTGAAGAACAAAATCTTGAGCTAAGAAATCAAGGTACAGACCAATATGCTGTTTGGCAGAATATGAAAACCAATACTCTGTTGTTTATGGATACTTATAGTTACAGTTAAAACATGCATAATAATGATCAACACAGTGTTCCAAGTCAGTGTACACCATTGGGAAAGAGGAAGTGGAAGGGATCTGTGCTCATTTTTCATAGAGTAAAAGGAAAATTTACTATTTCATATATTTAAATAGCTTTGAATGCAAAGAGCCACACCTGGAGATGGTCAGCCTTTGAATGCCTGTTAACTATTTTTGTAGAATTTTTATTTATTTATTTTTATTTTAAAAGTCAGTGTCTCACCATGTTGCCCAGGCTAGTCTGGAAATCCTGGATTTAAGTGATCCTCCTGCCTTAGCCTCCTGAGTAGCTGGGACTACAGGTAGGCAACCAGTGTACTGGGCTTATTTTCCTAGAATTGGCAACAATTGAAATAATAGATTATTTGAAGTTTGGATTTTTCTTCTATTTGTAATCATTTGGTACAGTGTGGGAAAATGATACAATGTGCTACTAGTGGGGTTTGTGATGTTTCCGTATGTTTAAGTGTTTCACAAGTAGAAAAAATTAAAGGCATAAAAATAGAGGCTTTAGGAGGAGGGTGGTGATGGTGCTGATGGTGGTGGTGGTGACAATGAACATGCTGCTGCCACATTCTCATGTGGGCCTGAGTTAGTCTGCCAAGGATTTCCTTTTCTTGCATAGTCTTTGTGTCTTCCCCTTTCCCTGCAGTTTTGCTCTTCAGCCTCAGGATCCTCATTGCATGTAGTTTAGTGACAATAGAAAGCACTTTCCAAACAGATGAGATAAATAAGAGAAAGATCAACCACCAGCCTAGGCGGCTTATGCCTGTAATCCCAGCACTTTGGGAGGATTGCTTGAGTCCAGGAGTTCAAGACCAGCCTAGGCAACATAGCGAAACCTCATCTCTACAGAAAATTAAAAAAAAATTTAACTGGGCATGGTGCACACGTCTATAATCCCAGCTACTCGGGAGGCTAAAGCAGAAGGATGGCCTGAGCCCAGTGATGGTGCCGCGGCACTCTAACCTGGGCGACAGTGAGACCCCAACTCAAAAAGAAAAAAAAAAATACATAAAAATAATAATGGCAATCACTTACTGAGCACCAGGCATTGTTTTAGACATTTTACCGTGATATTTTGAAATTCTCTTATCTCCATAAAATAAGTATTTATGAAATGAATTGATCAAATTTGAAAATATACTAAATGAAATATACTAAACTAAATTAAATTAACTAAGGAAAATTGGTTGAACATTTTGCACTAAGGTAGGCATTCTTTAGTTTCTAGAAGACAAAAATGTGACAGTGGGAGAAATTACTGTTCAAAATATAAGAATGAGTTGATAGCATATGTCAGAATGGTAATCATTCCGTTATGAAGGTTTCCTTTCTTTTTCTATCTTCCTTATCTTTATCTCTTTTAAAGAAAGAATTTCTGATTGGAGGGTTAACCCCAAGGCCTTTATGAAGACCAAAATGACATAAAATTTCTGATAAATGCAATAAAGCATAACCAAAAATGTAAGTGACCCTTCTTTTTTTCTGTATTGACATAAAATTCACATACAAAATTGATCTATTTAGAGTGTACAATTTAATGGTTTTTAGTATTTTTATAGAGTTTCAAACCATCACCACAGTCCATTTTAGGACATTTTTATTACCCAAAAAGAAACTCCATGTCTTTTAGCTGCCATTCCCCCCTCCCCTCTTCTTTCCCAGCT